AGGAGCTAGATAAGGATCGAAAGAACTTATTTCTTCTGGTTTTAAAAAAATCATACCATGTAATCTTTAATTTTTATGTACAGATTCTGTCCAGCAGTGTGTAAATTTTAGGCTTCCTTAAACTCTGAGTGCATAACGCTTCTGCACAGTTGAACTTGCTAGCTACCTAGATGATAGTGGAGGATGTATTGATATACGTAGAGGAAGTATTATAGTCATTTGACCTAGAATATATAATAAGGAAATACAGTAATATTAGTAATGATGTAATGATTTGATTAAAATGTTGTTGAGTCTTATGAACTTAATCATGAACCTGCCTCGTGACCTCGATCAAATCCTTTATAGTGTTATATTTTTCCTTTTTTAAATTTAGATGACCTCATATTTTAGCTTCCCTTGCCTTAGGTAGAATTTTGCTTACATAGCAAATGGAAGAGCCAAAGAGTTAAGAGTTGGAGGACTTTAGGGATCATCTGCTATCTATTTTGTTCCCTTTACAAATATTTGCCAGGCACTGTTTTGGTTTTGAGGATACAATTAAGTCCCTGGCTTCATGGAGTTTACAATCTTTTATGAAAAGGTTAGGAAGAAACTATGTAGTCTTATTTAAAGATTCCTTATTTCATTTTGGTGGGTTTCAGTATGCTCAAAAGAAAAAGGATCTGGTCCCTTATATGCCAGATAGGAAGTGAGGAACTGTAAAGCAGGAGGAAGAGACCCTGAATGAGTGAACAAGGACAGTGCCTCTCAAATTTTTCTATGTGTATGAATCACCTGAGGATCTTGTTAAATTGAAGATTCTTAGCCAATAGGTCTAAGGTAGGGCCTGAGATTCTGCAATTCTGACAAGCTTCTGGGTACTGCTTCTGCTACCAATCTGTGAACCACACTTTGTGTAGCAAGGAATTAGTGTATAAATAAGAGAAAAGAAGAATAGCCTGCCACCATTTTGAGAGGAGTGATTTGGGGCCATGCAGCACAGACTTGGAATTCTGAGCAGCACATCACTCAGAACTTGGCCTTGGTGAAGTGAATTGGTAAGAGCTGTTAATGTTCATATACAAAGAAGGGGTATTAAGGAGGTAATGAACTGAGCTTGGATAGTGGGTGGGTCTAAAACCTTTGAAAAGATACTAGGCGGTGAAAGAGATGAGGATCTTCAGGTATGATAAAAGTAAGTATCTAGTCAGAGAAACAAAATTTGTTAAGAGTTAGGTATTGACTAGGAGGACTTAGTTTGTAATTGGGAAGATTTTCTCTCCTCTTTATACTTACTCTAATTGGCATAGTGATTCTAGTAAAAAAAAAAAAAAAGTAAAAATAAGTGTTTTTTTTTTTTTTCTTTAAATAGTATAATTTTTTCCATAGGCATATTCTGTGTGGAGAGTATGTCAAATTTCTTTGTTTGGGCTTCCCTGGTGGCGCAGTGGTTGAGAGTCCGCCTGCCGATGCAGGGGACACGGGTCCGTGCCCCGGTCCGGGAAGATCCCACATGCCTTGGAGCAGCTGGGCCCATGAACCATAGCCGCTGAGCCTGCACGTCCGGAGCCTGTACTCCCCAACGGGAGAGGCCACAACAGTGAGAGGCTCCCATACCGCAAAAAAAAAAAAAAAAAAATTCCTTTGTTTTACAGATCTGAATCAGCTTAAATGTGATTAAGTTGCCCTTCTCTGATCTGTTCCTCTGGTGACAGCTACTTGGAGCATAAGCAACCTGGGAATTCATTTATCTTCATAGAATTAACAGAAGACTCTTAATCTTGGAGGTGGTATAAAGTGTCCAGTGGGTATCAAGCATTTATCCATAGAGAAAAATTTGGCAAGCCAAATCTTTGAACCAGCAACCTTTTATTTAGTTTTATGAATTCACAATGCTAGTGTTTTCCAGTTGTGTTTTTAGAAGTTTAGATTTTTTTTTCCCCCTTTCTGGTACTATTTTAAAAGTAATATATATTCATATATCCTCTTTTATATAACACCTAGTTTGTTCCAATCTGAAGATATTGGGGAATTACTACTAACATCCATAATTTATTATGGCTCTTTGTTTTAGTGTCATTGGAATATGTTGGTTTCCTTTTAAAATATTGGGTTGACCAAAAAGTTAGTCTGGGTTTTCCGTAAGGAAAAAGCTGAACGAACTTTTTGGCCAACCCAATAGTTATAATATTGTAAGGAGACTTAGTTATTGTACTGTTAAGTAGGCAGAAAGATGTGAAATGTAATCATGGACAAAATCTCAGTGTTCCTTTAATTGTATTGGTTCATTATGATTAAATGAACCACATGTCAAGTTTTTTCGCTAGTTACATACCCAGTGTGATTTCTGGCATATTTGAAAAGCGTTTGCTGCACCTATTGTTATTTCAGTATTTAGTTCTCTTTTAGCATAACTGTTAAAACTGAAAGTAAAACATCAAAAGCATTATAGTCTGTTCTAGAATCAGGCCAAGGAAGAAATTAAGTAAAACACATTATAGGCTAAAAATATATTTTGCAAATTACATCTGAAATTGTTTTGTTAGAGCATCTACTGGAAATGAAATTCAGCTGTTCTTATTCTGTGGGTTTTTAAAAAGTGTAATTATCTGGGGACTTCCCTGGTGGTCCAGTGGGTAAGACTCCTCACCCCCAGTGCAGCAGGCTGGGGTTCAATCCCTGGTTGGGGAACTAGATCCTGCATGCATGCTGCAACTAAGAAGCCTGCGTGCCGAAACTAAGATCCGGCTCAGCCAAAATAAATAAAATAAATATAAAAATAAATAAAAAATAAAAATAAAAATGTAAATATCTGAAAGTAGATGTCCATACAAAATAAGTTTCTAATGTTTTCCAGTTTTTAACCCAGTTTTCCTTTAGAACCATATAAGCCTTTCCTATATATTCTGAAAACTCAAGATAGTAATACCTGGAAATGTAATTAAAATATAAAATAAATGAAAAAGTAATGTAAATGTAAAGTAAATGAGAAAGAAAATACAGATAAGTCTAACACTGAAATAATTAAATTTAAGAATAAAATTAGGGTGTGACTTGTTAATATTACACCACCACATTGGTGTGTAATTGAGCCTTTGAGGGCAGGAACTATATTATATATTTGTGTTTAGCGCACATATTAAAGGACTCTTCGTTTAGTTTTTTTTTTTTTAAGACTCATTAGGAGCATATATTTCTAGTTCTGGTAAAATCTGTTTTGTTTTTTCTTAAAGTTATTTAGTTAAAGAAAAATAAAAAGAGGAGTCTGGAGTCATGCAGCCTAATTTTTTTTTTTTTTAATCCCAACCCTACTGCTTAGTAGTTTTGTGATGTTGGAAGTAACTTGACTTCTCTGTGCCTCAGTTTTTCTGGTTATAAAATTATTAATAGTCCATTCCATAAGTATTGTTGTTGGGATTAAGTGAGATAATTAATCCATGGAAAATGCTTTGAAGAGTTTTGGCACACAGTAAGTATTCAATAAATGTTAGTTGCTGCGAGTCTTTTTATTTGGGAACACCACTATTGCATTGTCTATGATGAATTTATTTTGCTTTTTAAAACAGGCATGCATATCCAGGTTCTAATACGACAGGTTTGGGTGCTTAACATATACACTTAAAATTAGTTTTGAATAAAAATCTTAAGAATTTTTACTTTCAGCTACTATAACTTTAATTCCTGTATAAAAAAAGAGAGAGAAGCCATTCATTCAATAAATCATTTTTTCCTAATAAACTATTTATTGATACCTGCTCTTTATAAGGCATTGGGTGCTAGGAATGTAAAATGGAGCAAACTTGGGTGTGTCCTTCAGTTGTTCAGAGGCTAGTAGAGAAAGGTACCACTGAGTGTAAATCAGTGTTGTAAATAACCCCTTTTGTGCCAGCTCATTAATACATGATACATTTTTATCTTGTCTTCTGGAAGGTATATAAGCCAGATTTGTGGGTGGATTGGCCCTTTATTTTTAGCATCTTGTCTATTTACCACAACTCAGTGGTATCTGTAATCATTCCTGTTTTGCAAATATGGAAATTTGCAAATTGAGGTTCAAAGAGGTAGTTTCCTCATACAGCTACAAAACTTAGTCCAAAATCCTACTTAATTTAAAAACTCATTCATTTTACTGTTCTACCTCCTGTATGTTTGTCGTAGGTGCAAGACATCTCTTTGAAGACTTAACCCATTAAATTGTATTTGAGGTTTATGTGTCTGTTTCCCTGTTAGATTGGGAGATTTTTTTAGAGCAGGGACTAGTCTTAAGTATTTCTGGGGCCCCCCAGCAACTAGTAGAGTACTTGTCACATATTAGTTACCTAATAAAAGTTGAGTAGTGAATGAATATGTAGAATGTTAGAAGTAAAAGGAATTTTAGAGCTCATGTAAATATTAGACACTAAATTTCTAAAATAGAATTTTTGATTGTTACATAGGGCTTCAGCTTTTGATTTTGCCTATTTATGGTATTTAAAACGCAACTACTACTGTCTATCACATCATCTCATAAAAGAAGCCATTTTAACACCAAAAAAGTAGGAAAGGCAATCTCATAGTAAGCACAGTTTGGTTAATTTAAACGCATCTTTTTGGTCATGGCTGGTACCTGTTCAAAAATTAGATTTCAGGAACTATTATCTAATGCAGTCCTCTCCTTTTAGAGATGATGTATCTGAATATAGAGAAGTATCCAAGTTCTTACAGCAAGGCAGAATGACCACTGAGTTTAGAACCCAGGTCTTCTGACTCTCAGCCCCAAATTTTGATCCTGTCCCCTCAATCTTCATCACATGCTGAGATTAAGGCACAATTTGTGCCTTCACTAAGATCATATAGCTGTTAAGAAGTAGAGTTGGACTGAATCCGTGTTACCCAAATCCATTTTAGCGAAACCTGTGCATTCACTTCCATGTAATTTTAACCTACTCTAACAGCTCCCATTCAGTTGTAGAGATGGAATTATAAGTGATTTTAAAAAGATGTCTATATTTAGCGTTTTCTTTCCTTGAAAATTTCAGATTTGGGGCTTAAACAACTTCCAGGGAAGAAGGCCAGTGCAGCTACTGTTGCAACCCAAGATTTTGATCCACATCCATAGATTGGAATATTGGTGGGCCAGCCATCCTCAGACACCTCACTGAGGACAGGTAAGTGAAAGAGATAAGAAGGGTAAGAAAAGTAGAATGAGTGCTAATATGATTCCTTCCTGTTTCTTGTTAGATGCAAACAGTTGACTGCCTTTAAGAATTTAACCCTTTATCCTATAAAAAACAAAGCATTTGGAATTCTAGGTGGGTGGGCAAAACATTTTCTTGATTGTAAAATATGTGTCAAAATGTTAACAGTGGTGAAACTTAGGGTAATTAAAATGTTTTTCTTTTTCTTTTTGTATGTTTTTCCAAATTGTATTTATGAACTTGTGTTACTTACCTATTGTTGCATAACAAAACACTGGAACTTAGTGGTTTGAAACACATCAGTCATTTATTTTGCTCATGAATCCACAATTTGGGCAAGGCTTGCTTGTTGGGGACAGCTTGTCTCTGTTAAGAACTGGTGTGAGGTGGGGTTGCTGGAGGGAGGGTGGTGGCTCAATGGCTGGGAGCTTAGAATCATTTTTTTTTAAACATCTTAATTGGAGTATAATTGCTTTACATTGTTATATTAGTTTCTGCTGTATAAGAAAGTGAATCAGCTATACGTATACTTGTATCACCATATCCCCTCTCTCTTGTGTCTCCCTCCCACCCTTGAATCGTTTGAAGGCTTGCTCACTCATGTGTCTGGTGGTTAATGCTCTCTGTAGGCCAGAACACTTGCAGATGACCTCTCTTTTTGGCTGCTTGGCTTCCTCACAGCATCGTGGGTTCCAAGCGAGAGCATCCCAAAGGAGCAAGGCGAAGTTACATGGCATATTTGACTTAGTTTTGGAAGTCACCTAGTGTTACTCTGCTCTTTTCTGTTGGTTGAGGTAGTCATAAAGGTCCACCCAGGTTCAGAGGAGGGGCTGGACATAGACCCCACCACTTGAACGGAAGAGTATCAACATCAATTTATAAGAGCATATGGGATGGAATCTGCCATTGTAGCCATTTTTGGACGATATAATCTGCCACAATTTGTATTACTTTTAAGATAAAGAATATAAACATGGGTATAATAAATGAAAAACTGGGATATTTGCAGGAAATTATGGTGTATGAGTCCAATAAGAATTTTTTGTGCTCTTCTTGTCTACTAGAATATGATATTGAAAATAAGATGCCCAAACAGGAAGAAGTGAAATAGATTTTGAATTTTCTTGGGTATCAACAAAGCAGCATACTGCTATAATCAAAAGTAGAGACAAAAATTTATACACAAGATGCAAAATAAGATTTGTAGTTCGGGTTTGTTGTTTTTTAGAAAATGCTAGTTATTTTTGATACTTTACAATGGAAAGTAGATACTTTACAATGGAAAGTGACTGGACCAGCTATTGTGACAATAGAGGTAATTGTTTTTTCTCAACTGTGAATAATAAGAATTGACTGAATTTGTGAAATAATATATTTTAGTTCAAAAGGTACAATAATTGGGAAAGCTGTTTTTGGTTTTTTTTGGCATTTAAAAACAAGACGAGATGGTTTCCAGGAGAATTAGATTGGGAATAATGATTACAGATATTATAACATAGTGTATCTTATACAACAACAAAATATATGCATATATGTACGAACATATATAAAATCTTTAAGCAACTAACTTGCTGCCTTTTTTGTTTTAAGCATGTTTTTAGCCCACTTTTGCGTTTAAGTAGTCTGAATAGGTGAATTGCTGATAACATCTTCAGGTTTACTGAATACTTTGCCTTGCCTCCTTTCCACAAGGCCAATGCCTGAGGGGATAAAAATCCCTTAAGTAAGTGAGATACTGCTTTCTGACTGAAGCTAAAACAAAAGACAATGGAACCTCCTAAAACACCATATAGAAATTGCAAATATGGTGGTGTTTAGTCTGTGGTACTTTATTCAATTCATGGACGGAGGTAAATGATGAGGCTCTCTTGTAAATATGAATGGCTGTGTAAATATTCTTTTAAAACGCAAAAAGAATTTTGAATAATTGTGGAAGGCAGACATATTTCTTTAGGGTCGGTGGTTCTCCTATTTACCATTATCTTTTGGTGAGATTCTTATTTCTAACAAATGGCGTTCAGTTCATGCTTATTCAGGTTTTTGGCAAAACAGAAGTTGTGTGACTTTCTTCTTGTGTGTGCCCCATTATTAAAAGGTATGGTACCTTTTATATATGAAATGTTTAACAAAAGTATTTAAAATCTGTGGCAAAGAATTGATTGACCTAGCATAAAATTGACCATATTGGGGACTTCCCTGGTGGTCCAGTAGTTAAGAATCCACCTTCCAATGCAGGGGACATGGGTTTGAGCCCTGGGTGGGGAACTAAGATCCCGCATGCCATGGGGCAACTAAGCCCGCGTGCTCTAGAGCCCATGTGCCGCAAAAGAAAGATCCCACGTGCCGCAACTAAACACCTGATGCAGCCAAATAAATAAATAAAGTATTTTAAAAAAATTTGAACCATATTAATCTTTTTTTTTGGCTGCACTGCGCGACTGTGGGATCTTCGTTGCTTGACCAGGGCTCAAGTCTGTGCCCCCTGAATTGGAAGCATGGAGTCTTAACCACTGGATTGCTAGGGAAGTCCCCATATTAATAATTTCTTTTTATAAATTTATTTTTTATTTTATATTTACTTTTGGTTGCGTTAGGTCTTTGTTGCTGCATGTGGGCTTTCTCTAGTTGCGGTGAGTAGGGGCGACTCTTCGTTGCAGTGTGTGGTCTTCTCATTGCAGTGGCTTCTCTTGTTGTGGAGCACGGGCTGTAGGTGCGTGGGCTTACGTAGTTGTGGCACACAGCCTCAGTAGTTGTGGCACACGGGCTTAGTTGCTCTGCGGCATGTGGGATCTTCCCGGATCAGGGCTCGAACCTGTGTCTCCTTCATTGGCAGATGGATTCTTAACCACTGCGCCACCAGGGAAGTCCCCATGTTAATCATCTTTAAGTGTACAGTTCAGTAGTATTAAGTATGTTCACATTGTTGTGCAACCAATCGCCAGAACTTTAAACCTTGCAAAACTGAAGTTCTACCCAATAAACAGCTCCCTATTCCCTCCCTCCCTCTAGCCCCTGGCAACTAACATTCTACTTTCTGTGTATGAATTTGACCACTCTAGGTACTTCATGTAAGTGGAATCATACACTATTTATCTTTTTGTGACTGGCTTATTTCACTTAGCATGATGTCCTCAAGGATCGTACATGCTGTAGCATGTATCAGAATTTCCTTCATTTTTAAGGCTGAATAATATTCCATTGTATATGCCACATTTTGTTTATCCATTTATCCTTTAATGGACACTTGGGTTGCTTCCGCATTTTGGCTACTGTGAATAATGCTGCTATGAATACTGGTGTGCAAATACCTCTTTGAGCCCCTGCTTTCAGTTCTTTTGGGTGTATACCCAAAAGTGGAATTGTGGTAATTATGTTTAAATTTTGAGGAACTGCCATACCATTTCCATAGCGGCTGCACCATTTTACATTCTCACCAACAGTGCACAAGAGTTCCAGTTTCTCCATATCCTCACCAACACTTATTATTTTCTGCTTGTTTTTCAGTAATAGCCTTTCTATGTAAAAAGCATGGACTTTTGATCAGATATACTGGAGTGAGTGCTGGTGGGGAGCCCACCTCTTCATACCCATGTGACCTGGAGCACATTTGTTAACCTCATCTGTTAGAAGGGTACAGTTGTCCTTACATCATTTCAGTATTAAATGTTAGGATGACCTGGCACAGTCTAGACATTCAGTAAATGTTTCTTGCCTCCGTGGCCCCATCACTCCTGGAAGTCTGCATTGATTCTTTCTGTGTCGTCTTCTCTCCCCTGAGCAGCCAGCTCCAGTTGGAATTAAAGCTTGGGAAAATAATAATAATAATAATAATAGCCTTTCTAATGGGTGCTAGGTGGTATCTCATTGTGCTTTTGATTCGTATTTTTCTAATGATTAGTGATGTTGAGCCATCTGAGCATCTTTTCCTGTGCTCGTGGGCCATTATACAAATATAAATATAGTTTCTGTGGAGAATATCTATTCAAGTCCTTTGCCTATTTTCTAATCACGTTGTTTGGTTTTCTTTGTTGTTACATTGTTGGAGCTCTGGATATTAACTGCTTATCAGATAAAAGATTTGTAGACAATTTTTCCTATAGGTTGCCTTTTGACTCTGTTGATTGTGCCCTTTGATGAGCAGAAGTTTTTAATTTTGATGTAGTCTAATTTATCTATTTTTACTTTTGTTACCTTTGATTTTGGTGTCATATACAAGGACTCATTCCCAAGTCCAATGTCATGAAGCTTTGCGCCAGTGTTTTCCTCTAAGAGTTTTATAGTTTTAGGTCTTATATTTAAGTCTTTGATCCATTTCAAGTTAATGTTTGTATAGGGTGTAAGGTTGAGTTAATTTTTTTTATATGGCATGAGGTAAGGGCTCAGCATCATTCTTTTGCATATGGTTATCCAGTTGACCAAGCACCATTTGTTGAAGAGACTGTTCTTTCCCTCATTGAATGGTCTTGGCATCCTTGTTGAAAATCAGTTGGCCATAGATACATGGATTTATTTCTGGACTCTCAATTCTTTTCCACTGATCTATATGTCTATCCTTATGTCAGTACCATACTGTTTGATTACTGTAGCTTTGTAGTTAAGTTTTGAAATGAGGAAGTGTGAGTCTTCTAACTTTGTTCTTCTTTTTTTTTTTTTTTTTTTGCTGTACGTGGGCCTCTCACTGCTGTGGCCTCTCCTGTTGCGGAGCACAGGCTCCGGACGCGCAGGCTCAGCAGCCATGGCTCACGGGCCCAGCCGCTCCGCGGCACGTGGGATCCTCCTGGACCAGGGCACAAACCTGTGTCCCCTGCATTGGCAGGCGGGCTCTCAACCACTGCGCCACCAGGGAAGCCCCTAACTTTGTTCTTTTTCCAGATAGTTTTGGCTGTTTGGGACCCCTTGAGATTCCATATGAATTTCAAGATTGGCTTTTCTATTTCTGAAAAACAGGCTGTTGGAATTTTGGTAGGGATTGCATTGAATTTGTAGATTGCTTTGGGTAGTATTGCCATTTAAAAAAAAAAATTTATTCATTTGGTTGCACCAGGTCTTAGTTGCGACAGGCGGGCTCCTTAGTTGCAGCATGTGGGCTACTTAGTTGTGGCATGTGAACTCTTAGTTGTGGCATGCACGTGGGATCTAGTTCCCTGACCAGGGATAGAACCTGGGCCCTGTGCGTTGGGAGCTTAGAGTCTTATCCACTGTGCCACCAAGGAAGTCCCAGTATTGCCATTTTAACAATATTAAGTTCTTCAGTTCATGAGCATGGAATGTCTTTCCATTTATTTAGGTCTTTAATTTCTCTCAGCAGTGCTTTGTAGTTTTTTTCAGTACAGAAGTCTTAGTTAAACTTATTTCTAGGTATTTTATTCTTTTGGATGCTATTATAAATGGCATTGTTTTCTTAATTGCCTTTTTGGATATTTTACTGCTAGTATAGTTGACCCTTGAAAAACATGGGTTTGACTGAATCACTTTGATGTATACCTGAAGCGTAAGTTAACTATACTTCAATTAAAAACAAAAACAAGAACACGGGTTTGAACTGCAGGGGTCTATTTATACATGGATTGTTTTCAATAAATGCATATAATACTATGAGACCCAAGATTGGTTGGATCCGTAGATGTGGAACCTCGGACTGGGAGGAACGGATATGTAGGGCAGATTATAAAGTTTTACATGGATTTTCGACGGCATGGAGGGTAGTGCCCTTAACCTCT